GCAAGCATTCATCACTATCGGAGTAGCATGGATGAAACAGCGAGACGTAGGACTTGGTCTTTACCGTGGGATTTTACCATACTAAACGCGTGAATCAATACATGCATGGAGTTGCTTTACAGGAGAAACATGTATTTCACTTCGATGGGAAGCCAGACAGAAAAGGCACATGAAAGCCAATCCATCCCTTCTCAAGGACAGAGACGATAGCCATGCACCATGAATTCATGGCCGTGTCGTGACATCAAAACCATCTCGTGTAAAACACCGACGGCCCCTTTTGTAGGTACCATGTCCAGTCACGCTAACCTGCCTCCAGTATGTGCATGTATAACCCACGTGCTCTCGCGTAGTTATTTAATAAACCATCGTTATTTTAAACGGATTCAATCTTGCGTCCCTGAGGAGCTTTTAATAATTACAGTATCATCCTCATTTGGCCTGTAACTTAGGGCTGTGACAAACCTTTGAGAAAAGACTGGCTGGCAAGTGTGGGTATCTGCTGTGGTCTGCAGACCTCTCACGGAGCAAATCCACCTTGGCCACGAGTGCAGATCACCGGCTTAGGAGCAAAGCATCCTGGTGATCATAGCCCTGTGGGCTAAACAGAGTGCCAAACAGCAGACCAAATAAGCTCCCAAATAAACTCCCGGTTAATGCCGACGTGACTGATTAACGGGGAGAAAATATTTTGGGGACATGTAAGGTATTCAAAGCAAGCTCCGTTGACCCCGCTGCCAGAAAACTCCGCTGCAAAGAACGCACCGTGCAGAGTTCACATAAAATGCAAGGAGAAAGTCTGCCAACAGCTGGAAAGCGAATGAAAAGTGGAGTAAGTACCAGCAGTTGCCTCGTTCAAGCCGAGGAGCAGGGGATGCAGGTTCTTGGTTGCTCTGTGCCCAAATACCTGTGCTTTTCCTTGGGGCGTAGAGAAAAGCACTTTGCCGAGACTTACTTAATCCTGTTACAAAACAATGCTCACCTTCCTATTACTGGGTAAAAGTCAATGAGCCCATTCCACAGATTCCCATTGACTTGAATGGGTTGTGGATTGGGTCCAGTGTTTGTGAAGGGGCTCAGAAGCTTCAGCGTAAGTGTGCTATAAAGCAATCCATACAGTTAACGCACAATTAACAATCCTTCACGGATGGCGGCATATGGAGCAATGAACGGGAGGAAGACGCAACGGGCCCTTGGTTTAGATGCTGGACTACGGCTTGCCAAACCACTCAAACTCTAGCAATGCCATTTAAAGCACGTACCAGGACGGCTACCTGATGGAGGCCGTTTCAGTCCCTGTCATGGTGGGAGCAAGTGGTCATGACTGAAAGTCACTATATTCTCTTTCCATATCAAATGACTCCATCAGTCTTAGCTTCATTTCCCTCTGGAAACTATGCATCTACTATGGCCGCAGGTGACTACAATTAAAAGCAAAGAAAACATCCTCAGCTGATGTAAATTAGCCTAGCTCTTGAACTGAATGGAGCTATGCCATTTATATCAGCATATAGCTGCCTTTTTGTTTGGTTGGGGTTTTTTTTAGTTTCTTATGTATATAATCAGTCAGTTCATCCCTTCGGGCCCGTCAAAGGCCTGGCAGCACATAACTGCAGTCTGTCTCAGCTCTGACCATGACTTAAGCTTGACCTTTACTTTCAAAAAGCCCCAAATGTCTGGCAAATAAAGTAAAGACAGAAACCCAAATCATAGGAGAAATATTAAGAACTAGCATGGAAAATCTCAGGGGAAAAGAAGATCAGTGTTAATTGTCTGTAAAGTGTCCATGAAAGTGTATTTTAGAATATAAGCCTATGGCTTCTGGCATGTTTAGGATTTACCAAGACCAACCATTCAGTAACTACGAGTGCCCGGGAGGTCTAGACAGACATTTGGACTCCTGGTTGATAGCATTTGGTTGTGTAGTAAGATATAATACACTTAACAGAGAGAACCACAAGGTCGCCATCATCCCCCCGTCGTCTTAAAGGCTACTTTAAGAGTCTACTAAAACCTGCTTACATTCAATTCACTACCAAGTTTTGTGCAACTTAATGAGCTCCCCAGGCTAGGGCTTAGGTTGAGAAGGCCATTTTGGAGTGTGGGAAAACAGCCGAGCGACGAAAACGTTGACTTCAAGGAAAAGTTGATCCAGCAAAGAAACACAACTGACATCATTAATACATTTCTGACCGCGGACCCCACCTCTAAACCCCCGGACTTTGCTTTCCCAAGGCAGAGCTGGATAATGTTGAACGGGGTTTGTGCTAGACAAGGTAGATGTAACTACCTATTACATACATGGGAGTTTATTGAAGCTCCCAAGTGTGAGTGTGGCGAAATCCAAACTATAAAGCACATCACGGACGAATGTCTTATTTATCATTTTAATGGCTGCATTGAAGACCTGCGCCAGGCTACTGATGACGCCTTGCAACGGGTATCAAATCTAAAACTGTCGCCCTAGCCTTATCCCTCGGTGCGTTGTTTATAGGCTCTTCCGTCACCCGGTTGCTGTACTCCATACAAATAGATAAATACCGAGACCAACAGCTCAGGTGGGATTTAAATATAAGCTAGCAAAAGGGATCATCGGGATAACAATGAATGGGAGACTACTATGGCACCATGAATTAACGTCATAATGGCACGAAGCATTAAAAGCACAATATTAATGGATGCAAGGAAAACACGTTTCATTCTGCTGGCATTGCATGACAACTTACAGGCTACAAATTACTTTTCCCAGTACATCGAAATGCTAGAACAACAGTGACAGTGATGTCTAGGACTTCTGCCCAAGATAATCGAGAAAGCCGCTCATTCAGTTATCCAAGCAGGACTTAATCCACAGAGCTTCACTGATTTCAGCCAACGTCTCACCTGATAAAACACTACACAGAAGTAGGAGGAGGGGTGGCAGAAATGGGGCTCAGCATGTCTTTTAGTAATGTAGCCAGAGCTTCCTCTATCTAAAGTAGCCTGTGCATAGGTAGTGGGTTCACTGTAAGCTGGATTCTGCGTATTTACCCCAAACTGAACTGCACCATACTGAACAAACCTTACTACTGAATCACAAAACCTTCCTCAGTAAGTCAGATACCACTTAACTAGGCAAAGGGTGGCAGAAACAGGCCTTAAGTAATGCAAGGAAACACAATGTTGGCTCAGCGGGGGCGGTGTTTGGAGTCAAGATAAGAGGGAGACACGTTAGCCACAATTCTCGATCGTCCTACACCAGGGAGAGCCAATTATACCACGATGCAAAGCAAGTGCACATGAGAATAGCAGTACTCTGCACTGCTGTAGGTCGCGTCGTGCTGTGCGACTCCATATAATCAGATCACGGCCCCTGCCCTGCAAAACATGTCTTCGGTTCTAACAGCACGAAGCAAATTGCCGGAGCAAAACAAAATTGGCTTTAAATGACTGAAATTTAACTATAAAGTATAGCTGGGTCTCATTTGCTTTTACCCTGGAAAATTCCAGGGAAGAAAAGATGAAAGAATGGTTCCTCATGTCAGCTTTCAAGATTGCAAGGGGAAAAACTGATGGATCGTAATAAGCTCATTTCAAGTTTTAACTTTTATCAGTGCTAAAGTTGCCCGAGGCAATCAAGCCTTAAAAATAAGCAAATAACTTGTAGCGAAGAACAGTGAACATTTCATGCCAGGGGGTAGCCTATAATTAGAACTCTACCGATTTTTCAACCAGGAGATTTCTTATTAAAAATGGACATGCACACCCACCTACATACTCTATATTTATTTATTTATTTATTTTTATAAATCTAGCTACCTCCCATCCAATCATCCATCCATCACGTGTATATATAGGTTACATATTTTTTTTCTCAAAATCACCCCCCTTTTCCAGAAGTTTTTCCAACAATTTTGTTTGAAATTTTTATCAAAGTCATTATCATCACCATTAAACAAACCATTACTTTGATGGCTCGATAACTAAAGCTGGGAGATTTGGGCAGCTAATTCCATTAGCCTCTTTTGAAAATCCCTGCCAAACAAAAATGACTTTCTCTAATCCCTTTTAGCAACAGAAATCAGAGGTGTTTCAACATTATAGGAATATGAAAACATCTTCAGACATGAGAATGATTTGCGAACGTGTCCCTTTTCCTTCCTTACAGCTCAATTTGCAGTGCAGATCTAACCTTAGTCTCCCCCGCCAAACAAAGGGTTTTTTTTTATCCTTACTGGAATGTGTGAGGGATGGCTGGAACCAAATTCTGGAGGTGCTCATTAATTAAACTCATTAAACTTTGGCTCTAGCCCATCTCTAGTTATGAAGAACCTCTTTAAGTAAGGACTTGCTCAGATGCTACCAGGCAGTATTCAAAATGCTATCTTTCAAAAGGTACACATTTTTTTTTTGGTTTCATTTATACGCACAGGGCACGTCAACACATGCATTTACTGCGCAGTAACTTACTGCGCAGTAAGTGGTTTTTAGGCTGGCGTCTACACATGCAGCTATTAAAGCACAGTAACACTGTGTGTGGACTGACTTGAGACTAAAGTCAGTCCCAAGTTAGTCCACACACGGTGCTACTGTGCAGTAAGGTGTCTACATGTGCATTACTGCGCAGTAACTAATAGGGCATAAATTTGACGCCTGCATGATGCAGGTGTCAAATTTAAGCCCAAGCTGGTGCAAGTCACCACAGCTACTGAGCAGTACAGATGTGCAAGTGCAGACGTGAGCCCATACTGTGCACTAATTTTTGGTTATTGCACAGTAACTTAAATTACTGCACAGTAAATGTGCACATGTAGACACATCCATAGAGAGCAATAGTTTGATACACTTTATTAACAAAGGTAATGTTTCTTACATTTAGCAGCCACCTAAAAAAAAAGGGGGTGCAGAGATGTAATTCCACACTTTGTTTTGCATTTCCGTCTGTAAAAGTTAGAACTAGATTAATTGACATTTAGTTTGGGTAAAAAAAACCCCAAAACAATAATAACATGGTTACTTACTGATGTGTATAGGTATCCTTCACTGTTCATTGCTAAATATAATTTTGTTTGAACCCCCTGAATAGCCACCACTCGTAAACCCACAGGGATGAGGTTAAACAAAGCTAGGAGGGAAAGAAAAAGAGAACAAATAGAAACATTACTTTCTTTTTTAGTTTAAACATGTTAACATTAAGACAGACAATTAATCTATAACTGTGAGACTCAATCGGAGCAGGTCATACAAACCTTCCTGTCCACTGGCGGTAGCAGCAATAACAACATATAGCTTTATCATTGTGCATTTCATTGGTAACTCAAAAGGTGGCTTGACTTACATTATTTACATTTTACAGACAGGAAAACTGAGGCACAGAAAGCTGATACGTCTCGCCTAACATCCCCCAACCAGACAGCGACAGAGCTAGGAAATAAGTTGCCTGCGACAGCCATGGGCAATAGTTTTAGGTCAAAAACAAATTGTCAAGCAAGGCCGCTATGGGAGGGACCAAAACCCATCAATGAGACCGGGTCCGGTTCGGTGATTAGCACTGATGCAAAATAGGGAAGGGTGAGGGTGGGGGATTCAGAAAAATTTAAGCATTTAAATGACATTTTCTTTTTGAAACAGAACTACATTTTAAAAGATGGAGGGACACCATCAAAATAGGGTGAGGAACCTCGGGACTAAACAAATATGCCTGTTCGCAGGATAAGCCTGTGCTTTCCATGCTCTTGCACCATTTGTGCCATAACAGTGTTGGTGTTTGCGGGCAGCGGGACTTCTGTTTAAATAACAAGGAAATGGGGAAGCAGCTAGCGAAGTCAAGAAAGAAGCAGAGCTCTGCCTCAGCTCAAATTCCCGGCTATTGTAATAGGGTGTAGCAGCTTGAACACAAATAGAGTACCACGTACCTAAGAGGTCCTGGGCAGGATTAAAAATGAAGCAGGAATAGGAGGGCTATGAAAACTCAGAAGAGATGACATTATAACCCATAGCTCCCCACTCAGACTGGTGTCTAAATGCAGAGCTAGGATGAAGGTAGTGCTGGAGGGATGTTGTAGCAATGATGGATCACAGATTACATGAGAGGCCCAAAAATGCCCTTGCGATAAATGAACGCTGCGTTAAATCTTATTTCCAGTGCATTATTACTTGGAATAGTTTTGGTATTGCTGGTTGTTGCTCAAATGCCATTTAAAACCAAATGGCGAATTAAAATAAAAACGCCTTTTCTTTTTTTTTTTTTTTTATATATATATATATATATACATACACACACACACACACAGACGTATAAAGGAAAGCAACACAAAAGCTTCAAATTCCCTTCTCAAGCTGACAAGCCCCAATGGGTGATGTTGAATTAAAAACCAATTTGCACCTTAATCGTATTTAATACAGACCCTAAATTCTGGGCATGGGGGAGAGTATCAAAAAAGACTTGGGAAAAGAGGAAATGTGATTATATTCTCCTTAAAGAAGGTTACATCTAGTGTCAGAGCATGTAAATGCCCATAGCACCATTGATGTCTATGGAGTCTGAGCTATTTGTGCCAACAGAAAATTGGGTCCCAAACACCGCTGGGATCTCTCCCTGGCTTAACACCACAGTGACGGCTCAGCCTAGCTAGCACAGGTGGCAAAAGCAGCAGACGCAGCAGCAGAAGTCTTAGCGTGTTAGCAGCCCAAATACAGGCCAAGACTCCCGGCAGGTATAAACCCCGACTGCTCATGCAGGCACCAGCCAGCGCTCCACATCTCCAGTGCTATTCTGCCCCATGCTCACTAGCAGAACCGTGCTGGGGTCGCTCTGCAGACTGCCCTGTAAACACGTGAACTTGGACCATGAACCTTCCTCTTCCTCACTGCCTGTCCAATCAGTCTAGATAACTAGATCTAGTGGAAATATCTAGGACCAGAGGATTGTTTCCTACACTGCAACAAGAGTGCATCAGAGCCACGGTGCTGCACAAGAAAAACATTTAAACAGCAATATGTGGCTTTCCATGAAATAATCCTCAGAAAATTAAATATACATATTTAATTGGCCCCAACTGGCTCCTATACACATATATATAAATACATACACATATAAAAATAGATTTTATATCTATCTATCTATCTAGACAGGTCTGGGCTGTCCTGGAAGAAATGTCCTCAGCCAGCTCCATTTACTGTGGAGGCAATAGTCACAGCCTCCTGCCGAAATAGCTGCACGAACAAGGATGCCTTGGGGAAAAAAGCAAGCAGAAGCAAGGGAGAGGGGACCCACTCTTTTTTCAGTTCTTTCCTCTGAGTTTCATCTGCAACCAAATGTGTTTGCTGAGACCTACCAGCACCAGCTAGCCACAGTTGCACCAGCAAATCACCTTTTCAAAGGGGAACTCAAAGTGCTTCAGGTCCTCTCTTGTGAATAAGCAAAGGAAGGGCCCCCTCCAGGGTATAAAGCTTCTTCAAAACTCAAAACTCTGATGTGAACAGAGAAGACATCCTTTTTAATGATTAAAAATGAGATTTCAAACATCTCCAGAGCAAAGACCCGCATCTGTCAGAGAAAGATCATTTTAAACGGGCCTTGGAAGGACTGAGACTACCTGTGAGGGAGAGAGACTTAGGAGATTTTCTGGTGCAAATGGCAAAAAACCCTCTTTTGGAGCTCAAAGGAAGGGCAGCTTAGCATTTGAGTCCAGAATAATGGGGATGAGCCCCCTTCCCTCACAGGAAGACCCTTATGAGACAGGAACGGGCTCTGGGATGATAAGTCAGTCAGGACCAAATATGGGACATCTTTTATAGTCACAGAAACATAGAAAATGAGGGTGTAAAGGGAGCTCAGGAGGTCACATCTAGTCCAACCCCCTGCTCCAAGCAGGACCAGCCCCAACTCCATCATCCCAGCCAAAGCTTTGTCTACCCAGGTCTTAAACACCTCCAAGGATGGAGACTGCACCACCTCTCTGGGTAACCTGTTCAAGTGCTTCACCACCCTCCTAGCGAGAAAGTTTTTCCTAATATCCAACCTCAACTCCCCTTGCTACAACTTGAGCCCATTGCTCCTTGCTTTGCCATCTGCCCCCACGGAGAAGTAAGCATTGGGCTGTCCTCAGCATTCGCGTCCAAAAGGTGACAGCAGAATGCTTTTTTGCGGTACGATCTCCCACGTCGGGAAAGGTGTTGCAGCACAGCCCTGATGCATCCATTACTAGGATGTTTCAGCACTCGTGATGTCTGAAGGCTGATTTCCAGGTAGACGTGGTTTGAACAATTTGCATGTAGCCGTGTATTTTATCTGGCAACGGTGCATTTTCACGTACCTTACAAATGAAAATATATTAGCCAGATGCATCTGGGTGAATGTCAGGACTGATCCCCATAATCTCTACCTTTCTACAATGCGAGAGGTCCCATTACAACACAGCAAAATAAAGGGCAACAGATTCATGGGAAATAATGGGCAATTCAAGGCATTCTGCCTAGTACATTTAGAGGTTGCAACACAACATTATACATCAGCCGAAAAGACCACATTTGCCTGTTTGTTTTATTTAATGAATGAATTTAGAAGCTAAATCAAGTATAGTTGTTTCCCATAATTTGCCACATCCAACCAGCAACAACTGTTTTAAAGAATGGCAAGGGACAGATAGCTTAAATTTGATCTTACAGATTCACCATCTCACCCCTGAGATGGTCATTAGAGTGGCAGGAGCATTTTCCTTTCCGTCACCCACTGGATGGAAAGGGTCTCAAATTTGGGAGCATCTCAAACAGGGTAGGCTGGCCTTGCAAAACTTGGCCTACCTCTTGAGTTGTTCCCAACACCGTTAATGCCGGTACACGACTGATACGCAGCAATGGTCTTAGCTCTGTTGGGTCAGTCGGAAGCAACAGAACAATGCGACATGAGTGAAAAATGATGCGATAAATCAAACATGACATCTTATTGCCTTCTGGTCCTCACCCATCACCGTGGCATTTGAGCACCAACTGAAAATGAAATCAACTTTCACCTTCAGCTACTTACAGCAGAAGAGAAATGATGTATTTAATTATTTACAAGGCCTTGATTAAAAGCTATTTGCCTTATGAAAGAGGAAAACTATCCTTAGATTTCCAATATATTGCTTGATCAAAGCATTACACAGCTGCCACCAAGGGAATACCCTCGTCAACGCTTGGTTCTTCACAGCTTTTTGTCAGAATGAAAATTTAGCTTTAGTTGAACGCAGTGGTTGTGTTCAAGGCTTAAGGGCTATTTACTCAGACCCACATCCCCTGTTAGTCATCATTTGGTGTGCTCCATTCATTTTTTTTAGTTAAAGACGACCCAGAAACGTTTCACAGACAAGGCCCGAGAAAATTGCTTCGATACTGAAGTCATAATTAAGCTCAGACTTATCAGCAGAGTTGGGGGGAGAACTGGAGAAATGCAAACTCCAAAATGCTGATGAATTCTCATTTTGTGAAATAACTCAGCTCTATTCGAATGAGACCTCTGCTTAAGAGGGGAGATAACGTGATGCTATTTCAGGTACAATGAGTAGGCGAGCAAATTTTTTGTGTTGAAAAAAAAAATCTAATAAAATCCAAAGGACAGTAATGAACTTCAGTCGATTACCATGGAGATAACATTCAGATTGTTTTTCATGTGTGCCACAAGTCTTCCTCTAGTTCATTTTTCTCAGTGTTTTTGTATGGCATTTCCTTCAGAGTCAACAGCCAGTGCATGCACAATGTTAATGCTGCTAACACCCAGCCAGCCATCCTGCAACAGCAACATTTTAAATGGATTTATATGGGGGGGGGGGGGGGGAAAAAGAGACACTATCCTTCACAAACACACCGTTTACTCTCATGGCACTTACTATAAGTACTGTCCTCCTCTTTTGTTCCATTAATTTCTCCATCTGCTTGTAGCTGCAAGTGGTATCCTTGCCTGCTGTATAGTTTTGTGACTATACCTTTAAGCTGAGGCTCTGAAAGACAATAACAGTGAGATTAATTAGTGAAATCTGGATGTGCAGTCGAACACCGTCAGGTTTCAAAATAATTCTGCATTTCACGCTCTCTCCTTTTTCATTTTTTTTTTTTTTTTTTTTTACTTCCAGAAATGTCACATGCAAAACACCAGGACAAACATCCTTGTAACACTCCCTGTTTAAGTTAGGTCCAATCCCTGCCCATAAAATCAATTGCCAAATGATTAAATGCCACTTTCTATTGCAATGGAGGTAACGCATGAAAATCTGCTGCCAGCAAACACAAATTCCAGCAGTGTGACATTTGGCTTCAGGAGCTGTGCCCTATCTCATTTATGATTAGAAATGCGCTGGCAAAGAACACGTTCTGCCTTTTAGCAGGGTGCGAGTCCTCAAACGGAGGGAAAAGAAAGGAGGACTGAGATACCGTTAATACGAATGAGAGCCATATGCCAATCAGGAGCTCACGGATCCAGCAGCTCGGGTTTATCACAAGGACTGCTGCAATTCTCATGAACAACCCCCCATTCCCAGCTGATCCCAAGAGGACAGAGAAAAAGAAGTGAGAAACCACTCAATGAACAGGAGTAAAATGCAAGGGGGGGAAACCCTAAAATCCAACGCGTTGAACTGTTAAAGAAATATTACCACCAGAGTCAATCTTGTAGGTTAAATACACTCCCACCCCTCAATTTTGGATAGACATCATCTTCACAGTCCCCTTCCTACTCAACGTGAGAAAATGAAAGAGCCCAGACACCCTTCCAGACTCCGAAGCGAATGGCAACAGGGTTTGCTATGAAGTCTGTAATGTAAAGCAAATATCCAGGTCATGCACCAGAGGTAATTGCAATAAAACAGGTCTACTCCCACTGAATCCCAATGACATCTGCATTGTGGTCATTCTCCCACAATTATTCTTGTCGGGAGGTGATGCATTTTGCAGCAGCTCGCTCCAAACCATCTGAGTTCATTCAGAGATAAAACACATGGTGAAAGGATGATTTGTCATCCTCGACCCAAAGTTCCTAATATGTGGCTCAGGCTTCTAGTGATTGAAGGGAAATAAATCAGGGACGGTACGCTGCTGTACCTCAGCTGGGTAGGATCCGAAGGCAAAGGCTTGTGATAGTTTGCATAAGTATATTACTTCCTATTAGCAACCTTTAATAAGTGTGCTGAAGGATGCATAATTCCTATTCACCAACTCATTTGTCAGGAAACTAAACCAAATGCTGCTCCATTTTCTTGCAATAACATGCTCAAAAAACCCCCACAGACCGCTGGCAATTTTAGGCTTCCTTTTGGAATTAGTCGCCTATTACTCGGGTAGGTAAGAAATGGCACCTAAGAGCAAAATAACAACATACCTGGAGGGCTCTGCCTCTCCCAGGTACAAAACCCCGTTGACTGGGAGACTGATTCTTCATGCAAGCTACACACACGACCGGATGGATGCAAGAGGTATGCATGATATTCCTAGAAAGGGGCAGGGGATGAAGCATGGCTAACGTCTGGAGGCTGATGACTAAAGCAAGCAGCCTGTTCTCATGCAATTAGCTCTACAGCAAGATGCAGAGATTTGACAGAGAAGGTAGATCTCAGACCACGAAGTTACTGAATGTGCAGGCAGAGGGACCACACAGTAAAAAAAAAAAAAAAGGGGGTGTGTGTTTGGGGAGAAGGGATTTCCTTTCCATTCTTCCTCCCCTCCAATAAATTGTGTGTGTGTGTGTGTGTGTGCGTGTCTGAGAGTTGCCAGGCCAGTATATCACCGGTGTATGTGCAAAGACGAGTGTGCATGTGAGAAAGAGAGAGCAAGCGCCGGCGTAGGTCAAGCAAACACCCGAAGGAGCGTGCGATGGAGGAACTGGCACTGTGTCCATGCCCACCAGATCAGACACATCAGCCATTGCCACGCCGGCACACTCATTGCACCCGCCGGGAGAAAGCAGTCCCCCCTTCCTTCTTTCCCCACGCACACGCCGGCCCACCTTAAACAAAAACCGACCCCAAAGAGAACCCGTGCCAACCTGGTCGCCGCCTTCGCCTTTTCTTGGAGCCAAAGAGTTTGACTCTGGAAAACACATTCAACTTGTTCTTGTCGCAGCTTCCCTTGTTCTTGCTGGGGCTGCTGACACACTTGCAGGCATTGGATTTCTCACGCTCCCGGGCTTGTCTCTTCTGGCGGATCAGGGAGCTGGCGATCGCTGCGGCCATCGCTGCCACTGCCCCGACACCACTGCCGGGTCAGACACAGAGGATCTGGGTGCTGGCTGCGGGCGCAGCAGCCAGCATGCTGCTCTCTCCTTCCCCAAAACCGGGGGCAGAGAATCGTGCTCCTGACCGCCTCGGTGGCTCCGGCGACACGGGCACGCGGGTTGGAGCCCCCCCCCCGCCGGTCCCGGGCTTCTCCCCCTCACAACTTCTGGCAGGGGAAAGTTTGCAAGCAGGGCTCAGTGTTTCTCGGGAGATGGCGTTGATGGCTCGCTGGGCAACCCTCCGAGCTGCTCCGGATGCACCGTTTGCACGCGGACGAGGCACATGCGCTTTGGCACAAGATCGATTCAGCTTTGCCTGGCCTCAGTATTTTTTTTAACTTTTCACCCACCCTCCCCTTCCCATTCAAATCCCAGCAAACACCTGTTAGACTCCAATAGGGTCCAGCTGATGCAGGGCTTCCCGGCTGCTTTGTCCTTTAATCCCCTCCCTTCCCCTTCTTCCTGAAGAGGAGATCCGGAGCACAAAAAAAAATTGCACAGCGATGGAGACACTGGGATGAGGTGGCTGCTGCTGCTGCCGCTGCCAGGAGCCCTGGCTTGGCTGTCTCCGCTGATCCTCGCAGGTGAAGCTCCCGCACAGCCTCTGCTCCAACGCTGCCGCGCTTGTCTTTTTTGCACTGCAACACTTCTAACTATTCAGTCAACAGCAACAGCTCCCCTGACGACTAGTTGCCAGCAGCACCAGTGCCGATACTGCAGCTGCAGTAGCCTTCAGGCAGCGGAGACACACGCGCTCACACATTGCACACGCACCGGGAGCTGTGCGCTGGCTCCGGGAATGAGACGACGCAGCGAGCCCCTTCTCTCATCCTCCCCACCCCTCCCTCTCCCTCTCCCTTCTCCTCCCTTCGGCGAAGGCGGCAGCCTCACAGGCTCTTTGTGTGGCTCCTTCCAGAGAGCAGGACCCGGGGAGGGAGGCTGGGAAGCGTGAGCTGCTCAGAAAGGTGCGGCACCATCAGCAGCATCTCGGTGCGGGCCCAGAGCGGAGGGGGGGGGGGATGCTGCATGAGACACAGGGCACCTGCTCTCCAGGCGAGGGGCAGACACCCAAACAGACGTGACCGTGATGAGTAAATACTCAGCAGCTCGGGGACAGGGACTGGATTTTCCCCTGGAAAAACAAGGCCACCTGTCAGGCAGAGCCCAGGGCAGGGTTTCAAGCAGCATGAAGGAGTCTGGGGGGAGGCAAGGAGGTGTTATAATGGGAGCATCGGTGCTTTCCACCCTCTGGTTTTAACACATCCCTCTTCCCTCCTTCCTGCAGGCACCTGCCCCCTTGTCTCAAGCACTTGGGGGGATGTAGCAGGGACCCAGTGGACCCCAAGGGTCCCTTTCCTTTTCCTCTGCCCCCCGCCATCACCCCTTGCTCCAATTTCTACCTGGAAATCCCTGCAGGTGGGGGAACAATTCTGGCTTTTGACCCATGCCTCTATTTCCCTCTGCCTGGCCCTCTCCTTCCTCTGTGAGCCGCAGCCCATCCTCTGCCTCACAGACCCACTTGCTCCCTCATCTCTCACTGCATGGACGTGGTGGCTGAGGTCTTGGTTGAATGAGAGCAGAAGGAGCTAAACTCCTGGAGACGGGAGGAGTTCAGGGGTTGGAGAAGGACCCAGCCGGCGTGGGGAGATTGGAGGCAGCGTGGCCGGCCACATCCCATGATTTAGAAACCACCACGGTAGGATGCAGAAGCCTCAGTCTGCCCCGCCGAGTCCCAGCACCCGCTGCAGGGAGCGAGGGGATATCCGCAGCTCTGCCACTGACTGCCTGCGAGACCCTGGGCAAGTCACTTCCTCCCGTGAGAGGCGGGCTGCTGAATCGAGGCAAACTCCGGCTGGAAATGAGATGCGAACGTGCACACGTGACAAATGCCGTTGCAATGTGCCATTGGAGCACGTTACCTCAAGGGACGGAGCAACTTTACCATTGCTTGCAGTCTTTATCCAGGACTGAACACCTGTTTAAAAGATGCGTTATAGTCAACGGTGCCGGGCTGGGGTCATCGCTGTGGTCCAAAGGTTAAAGTTGTTTCTCAGGGTCCTCCACATGTCTAAATCTTCAGTCCTCACTGCTGAGACGGAGGAAGAGGGGCTGAGAGAGCAGCTCTTTCACTGCACTAATGTTAAGTCACAGGGCTGAGCCAAGACCAGGAACTCACCCCAGCTAAATCAACCCAGTGGGAAGTGGCCCGAAATGATGGAGATCCTCCGTAAGCCCAGATGATTGCTGATCTCTGGTACAGCATCCGCCCAGGAGCTTGTAAGGGTAACCACGGCTGCTTCCATAACATCAGTTTTCTTCAACACTTCTAGAGACCGTGTGCCCCCTTCTTTCTCTGCCGGATGCATTTTACCACTAAGCCGGAGATTTCTGCACGGAGCATCTATTTAAACGTGAGGGCAAAGGCAGGCTCTCCTGACAGCTTTTTTCCCCACTCAAGACTCGGGCAGTGCTTGAACCTTCCTCCACTCTCAGTGCGCCGAGATGCAAACTAGATGCCTCGTGCCACAACGTGGGTGCGATGCTGCAGCTGTTTGGAAACTCAAACAGCTGGAGTGCAAATGTCCCCATCTTTGCAACAGCTGCATTTGTTTCCCTGATGAGCACTAGAACCAGTGCACATCTGGATTCATGTTTTTGGTGGAGAAGAGTTTCAGTCCCAGAAAAGTGAAGCGGAGCTAGGCCCCATTAGCAGAAACGCCGATCCCTTTGCAATAT